TACTAGGGTTCCCATGATAGTTTAAGGTCTATTCCTTTAATGAAGGGGTTTTGGGAGCCTGGGAGCTTTTCGGTCCTCTGTGGAGGTCGAGGTGCCGTGAAGGGGGTTCTGGTTGACAGCAAGTAGCCTAAGCCTTGAACCACCCAAAAAGCAAAAAAAAAAAACAAAAAACGCCGGTAAACCCTAGACCCCTAAACTCTTAAACCCTAGACCCCTGAACCCCTAAACCCTTAAACCCCTAAACCCTTAAACCCCTAAACCCTAAACCCTAAACCCTAGCCCCTAAGCCCCTAAGCCCCTAAACCCCGAAACCCTAACCCCCACGATCCTCAACTCTTTTGGCCCCAAACTTCCCCCTAAACCCTAAACCCTAAACTTGTTTTGACATCTGCGCATTCTCAGGTTCGGATCACTTCTGGGGACACCAGGAGCCGGAAAACTCAGTTCTTCACCAATTCTGCACGGAGATTGTGGGGTTAGTCTACCCATAGGCCCCATAATAGTTCCTTTTGGGGGTTACCTTATAGGATTCTATATATGAACCCCAAAAAGGAACTACTTTAGGGCCTATGCGTAGGGTGTTTTAGGATTGCTGAAGGTGCTGCAGGGCTTCTTTTGTTCAGTGTTTTTCAGGGCTTCGTTCAACTATGGTGGCCTAGTCGTAAGAATGGGACTTGGGTGTTTATCATGGAACGGGGCTTGGGGTCGACTCTAGTACACCTCTAGAGGGGTTTAGGGTTGAGGGCAATGGAACCTGCAGCACTGCAACTTTGAAATTCGGCGATTCTTGCGGTTATGAGCGGCCTAGGACGGTTCCTTTTTGAAAGAGCACTCACCAGAGCCTCCAAAACACCTTAATTAAGGAATATACCTTAAGTTATAGTAGGAATCCTAGTAAGATGTATAAGGTATATTCCTTAATTAAGGGATAATACCTTAAATTAGAATAGGAACCCTACAAGTAGTAAGATGTAAGGTCTATTCCTTAATCGAGGGACATTGGAGGCTCTGGGTCATGCGAGCCATGGAGCAGAAAGTCTCCATGACTGCGATGCGCCCAATCTGGCATTGCACTTTGGTCCCAGAGACTCCCAAAAAGCCCCTTCAGGAAGGAATATTACCATGGTTTAGGGTTTAGGATTTAGCTTAATGAAGGAATATTACCATGGGTTAGGGTTTAGGGTTATAAGGACCTTGATATTCAATGATGCTTGGAACCCCAAGAAGATTTGAGGTATATATTCCTTACTTAAGGGGGTTTAGGGGCCCCTGGGCAGATCGAACTCAACGATTGGACCGCTCTGAAGGAGATGCCAGTTTGCTCTGCATCACAGGATGCCATTGGTTCTTAAGGTATTCCTTCTCTAAATTAGGGTTATGAGACAGCTGCCTCCGGTATCTTCTGGCCAATCGAGGTTGCTCAACGGCGGCCACAGCCACCGCTTTAACATGAGGCAACGAAAAATTATCTAGATCGAGGAAGCGGTCCTCAAGACCAAGCCGCCAAAGGCCTATTCACTTTTCAGGCTCCCGGCTTAACCCCTTTTGGGGTTTAGGGTTTAGGGATCGTGGTGCTTTCAGTGGCTTTCAGGGATGTAGATTCAAGACAAGCATCCCCGCCAATGTGTGGTCGGTGAACCGCCCCTTTTCCGATCTCGAATATGCAGACGACACCCTTCTGCCGGTGGAAGGCCTCAGGGTGCCTCGTAAAGGAGCACATCCAGGTCATCCCGAGAGACTCCAAAATCCCTGTTTAAAGGAATACATCTCAATCTTATGAGGGCTCCTATTTTGATTTAGGGTGTGTTCCTTAATTAAAGGGTTTTGGAGTCTCTGGGTCTTGGACATGTACTGCTCCCCATGGCCGTGCGGATCACCATCGCTGGCCCGCTGAATTTTTCAAGTGGACCCTCAAACCTAAACCCAAACTCTTGAATCCCTAAAAGCCCCGTAAACCCGTATAAGCCTCTAAGTGATCTTACAGAAAACCATCGATGAGCCCCAGAATTTCAATTCCAAGACCCAGTTTAGGGCTTGCAGTTACGACCCTGAACCGCAAAGATACCCCTTGCCATCAAATCGAAGTTCTCTTGCTGGTTAGAGCCGCTCGGTTGGGTCACTTCTGATCTGCTCTTTAGCGGTTTCAGGGGCCTAGCATGGAGAGGGACATGAAAAAACGCCCCTCTGCACCTAGATGTAGAAATCTCGAAGACGAGATTGAAACCCTGCTGAAAACCGTAACATACATTGGCCAACAACCCTGAAGCATCAACTGCCTACCAGCACCGGCCCCGCCCAATCACCATTTCCAGGACGCGTTTGGCTTTTTGCCTTCATTCGTAGATAGTTCGGCTAAAGATATTTTCTTGGTTGCTGAGACCCACCTTAAGCCCTGAAGACCAACGCCACCTCGACATGCAAACTCCAAGCTCGAACACCTCAACCCCTCAACCCCAGAAGAACCGTAGAACCTCTATAACCCTAAACCCTAAACCCTAAACCCTAAACCCCATAAGGCCCAAACCTCAAGCCTGCGATTCCGAGAACCAACACCAGAGGCATGGGATGTTCATGAACAGCACGGTGATCTATCGCACGCTGTTCCCAGAGTCGGCTCCCCAACATTTTCGCTCACGAGACTTTGGGTGGGTTAGAGGTTGGGGTGTGGTGTTTAATTCAGGCTCGCTAGCACAGTGGGCCCGGTCTGCAAGTAGGGGTATTTAATGATATGTGTATATATGTATATATGTATGTTCGGAATTATGCAGAACATACCCTAAACCCTAAACTTTGGCCCTAAACCTTTTATAGGGTAGACTGGGCGGAGGGGACGCGAAGAAGCAGGGGTTTGATTTTCGCAATTTCCTAGAAGGCCCGAGAAGACGTAGACATTTGGAGCCAAGTCTGATTGTCGAATTCCCTACGCTAAGTAATGAATCCCAAACCCCCGCAAGGGTGTAGGTTTTAGGGTTCCCTTCAAAGGTTCCTAAGTACCTATGGTAGAAATCCCTAGAGGAACCCTTTAAGGTTGTACTTGCATGTACGGCTTAGGGTTTAGGGGTTAAGGGCTCAGGGGTTTAGGGTTGTACGTTTTAGGTTTAGGGGTTTAGCCGTACTGTAGCACTTGGATGTTTACCTTGGGCTCGGAAATACGGTTGATGACATAAATCTTGCATTACCCAGAGTAAGGAAGATGACATTAGCTCGAAACTAGCAAGTATCTGCCAGGTTCTTCACAAGGGTAGTTTCATAAATTAGGATCCCACTTTAGGTGCCCAATATAGTACAGCACCCT